TTAGTTTAGGACAACTAAAATTTAATTTTTGTTTTTAAATTTGGGCACATTGAGTTAAAACTAAGGATTGACTTGGCAAAAAAATTCAAGCAAAAAAATGACAAGACTACCCATCGAGTTGCAATCGTGGGTTGTGTGAATTGTTGGGTAGATTTTAAGTATACGTGATATGTGAAAAATAAGTGTTTAGCTGCATATGGTGATAGTGAAATTTATGTTCGTTTCGATTTGTTTGTGGCCTCCAACGGTTGATCAGTTCACACGCCAAGACAAAACAACCATTTGTCATATCCGTTTTGGTTAAATAGTTATGGTCCACATTTTTCCAAATAGTAGTAATACTAGTAGTCATCATCATCCCAGTCGCCGTTGAATATTCTGGCAGTCTTGCTTTCAACATGTTGCTTCGCTCCTTTTAAGTTCTATATATATATATATATATATATCAGTCTAAACAAGTGGCTCTCTGTTTCCATCTTCTCCTTGAAGAGAGATGCATGGTACAAAGCAGCCAAGCCAAGCCAAGCCAAGGAGGATGTCAAGATAAGGGGTGAGAATTTTTGTTACCATATGTTGACGCACCAAGGATCCTCTAGAGTGAAATTTTCCTAAAGTTTCCTAGAGTGCTACATTGTGTGGTTGAGATTTACTGGCAAGTCACATCAGAAAAATTGATGTGACTTGCCAGTAAATCTCAACCACACAATGTAACACTCTAGGAAACTTTAAGGAAAAATCACTCTAGAGGATCCTTACTCATGTTGACGGGATGTGAATTGCACACGCAATTAGTTGGGGGTGCAATTTGGACGAGTCCAAATCTGAAGAACCGGAGTTTAGCCTGAAAAATGTAGCTTGGCTCTAAAAATTCAAATTTGGACAAGAGCAGGAATTTTCACAATTTGAAATCTATTGTTAATATATATATATAAATATGTAATATGTAATAATCATTAAAGTATTATGAATTATTGATTATTTAATTATTGTGATTTTTTTTTCTTTTTGTTAGCGAGTTAATAATTAGATTATACGTAGATTGAAGTTTTTCATATATTTTAACTTGAAATCTCACACTGGCATCTAAGTGCCCACTTAAGGCCACTCGGGATATTGATATACATTAGTTTAGGACAACCAAATGTAGTTTTTATTTTATTTTTTCATTTTTTAATTTTTGGAATTTGGGCAAGGAAAGGGCACCGTTTGGGAAGAAGTTGGTTGGGTTTTTTTGGCTATTTTAGTCACAAAAAACAAAATAGGCTATTTTAGCCATAACAAACAAAACATCACATCCAACCCATAATCATTACACTCTTCTCTCACAAAAAAAGTCAAAAAGTCAAAAAGTCCTTCCCAAACCAAGCTTTTTAGCCAAGGCTAAAATAGCCAAAAAAACCAAAAATTCAAAAAATCAACCCACTTCTCAAACGGAGGCTAAGTTTGAATTTTTTTGAATTAAATTTAAGCTGGGGCTTGGGAAAATAGTTTAGGCAAAAATTGGGCTCAAAATCATATTTAGGCAGATCTCTCCGCACTTCGAATAGAGTCTGAATAAACATAGATGCATTGTAAGATAAAAAAAAATATTATAATTAGAAATGTATAGACACATAAATGATAGGAGTAATTCTAATTTTTTATGAAAGAACAAATTAAGATGTTTTGATGTATTACAAAGTTAATTAGACATAATATTATATTTATGATATTAAAAAAAAAAAAAGAGTGATATAATGGTAAGAAAATTGAAGTTAGATGTATTAAAAAAATTAAATTTATTTAATTTTACAGAAGAAAGAATGAATATATTAACATTACATTTTATTTTGTCATTTAAGATTTTGGAATGGCAAAATGTTCTCCCAAACCATGTTTGAGGTAGATGAATTGTGTTGTTAACTTGTTTCCTTAGTCTTGCTAAAGATTTTTAAATTTATCTATAAGGATATGGCAATGACAGTGACGGTAATAGTGTTACAAGTGTTCGACTCCGAATCATCTAATAATTTGCAACTAACATGTCATTTCTTGTCTATCATAAACTAATTGAGTTTCATTTCATCTCGTAGAAGCAAAAGTTGAATCAATTGCAGGTTATAACGTAGAATATGTACGGGATGCGATCCTTAATAGTTCACTGTAGGCGGAAGTCTAGTGAAATAAATATTCGGTAAATCAAGTACACTAACAATATGAAATAAGTTTGTTCTCAGGTAATTTAGCACTAAGAACTTTAAAAGAGGGAAAATATACCTTCCTAACAAAACAGGTTGTTTAATCTCACTCAAGATAAATTTAGAAGTGAAATTTTAAAGATTTTACTCATTTCTTAATTGTTATATTAAGGAGTCAAAGTGTCACGATCCTTGATGAACACTTCAACAGAGAAAATTATTTGGTACTTTTAGGGCAAGCTGTGATGATATCTTAATTTGAATTTTATTAATTAAAAGCTCATTGTCGTTTAAGAGGTAACTAAGTAAGTGTCATTTCTTGAATGGCGTGAAATAATATTTCGAGACCACTAAATAAATTTTTTTTTTGAGGGGGTGAGATGTATAATTTTATTTGGAGATTAAAAGCATAAGTTAAAATAACAAAGTTAAAATTAAATTTTGACTTACCATACTATCAACTTTTGTGGTTTAACAATTTTGCTCTAATTTTTTTACTAAATTTTAAATGTTAAAATAACAATATTAAAATTAAATTAAATTAACAGTTATGTTACGTAGCTCGAATTTTCCGAGCTCGAATTTGGTCCGAATTCAAAATGACGTCGTTTCGTTGTTTTGAATTTTTTTTTTCTTTTCCCTTTCTTTTCTTCTTCTTTGACTCGCAGAAGTAGCAAGAAGAAAAAAGAAGCAAAAGGAAGAAGAAGAAAGAAGCAGATGAGAGGAAAGAGAGAGAAAAAGCCAAATCTAGAAAATCAAAGCCAAATCTTGAATGAAAACCGAAGCCAAATTCATGAAACAAACCAAACCCAAATCCACGAAACAAATCAAACCCACAATCCATGAAACAAATCAACCCAAATCCATGAAACAAATCAAACCCACAAATCCATGAAATACACACACACACATATATACAGATCTGAAAAATCAACATGAAACACACTGCGGCGATCAGAGGCGGAGGCAGAGGCGGCGGTGATTGACCCTCTCTCTCTCTCTATTCCCTCTTCCCCTCTTTCTCTTCCTCTTCCTCTTCCTCTTCCTCTTCTTCTCTTTTCTCTCTTCTCTCTGCTCTCTCTGTTTTAGACATAAGGAGGAAAAAAAAAACTGCCCAAAACGACGTCTTTGGATAGTTGGGGGGATTTGGGAAAGAGAGATTCAAGCTACGAAAGATTATTCTTAAATTAAATTTTGGCGTACCATCCTGTCAAAATTTTATAATTTTGCTCTAATTTTGCTATCCTAAAAAAAAAAAAAAAATTGCTCTAAAATTTTTTTTCCCTAAATTTTAAATGAAAATATTTTTGTAAGTTTGATGAGGATTTGAAAAAGAGAGATTCGAGCTACGAAAGATTATTCTTAAATTAAATTTTGGCGTACCATCCTGTCAAAATTTTATAATTTTGCTCTAATTTTGCTATCCTAAAAAAAAAAAAAAAATTGCTCTAAAATTTTTTTTCCCTAAATTTTAAATGAAAATATTTTTGTAAGTTTGATGACACCACGAGAAGAGTAAAAGAAAGGATAAATTAAAAATACATCTCTTGAGATTTGATTAAAATACGAATCGTTCTCTGTGGTTTTGGAAATTACATTCCACCCCCTAAGATTTCTAATTTCATAATAAATCGCCCATTTTATTAATAAATTATCAAGTCAATTAACAGCTTTTAATGATGTTAGAAATATATTTCAATTAACAATTTAGATAATTTTATTATTGTATAGGAGAGCAATTATGAATTTTATTTTTTTAATTAATTATGTTAAATAAAAAATACAAACAAAGAGGTATTTGTAATTTTTTAAACTATATGAGACAATCTGTATTTTAAACAAATCTCAAGGGGTGTATTTGTAATTTACCCCAAAAAAATGTTATTATTAAAAAAATAATTTTGTAAACACTTGTTAAATGCTAGTTTTGACAAGCGTTATGTAAGAGCTTCTCCAACGGTTCAGTAAAATTTAACCAAATCTGAGCAAAAAAAGGTAATTTTCTCAATCTGATACGAGCAGCTCCAACTGTTCCATTGTAGCGTGCATCAAAACAAAAGGGATGTCCGGTGGGACGACTGGCCGGTCGACCGGGATAGCCAACCCAAATTTTTTTTCCCCCTCCCTTTCTGTTCCCAATTTGTTTCTTATTTCTTTTTTCCTCCATTACATATTTTTCATTTTTCGTTGCCTCCAATAATGATTTCTTTCCAAAACCTGATATAAACACATTATCCATATACCATATACCAGACAAGTGGTACGTTATATCTGAAATGCACCATAACTGAAAGTAGAGCATAATGAGTATCTTAAATTCCATGGTGTTCATTTCATTTTCATCATTTTCTTCTTTCTCATCCTCTGATTATGAGTCTGATGATGAAAAAATGGTCATACTTTGGGGGCTTATGAGATGAATAATGCTAGTATGATTCAGATTTTGAAATCAATTGGTGGATCAAAGAAAAGAGGTGGTTCTATTGTAGGCCATAAGTACATACGTCACGATAGAAGGAAGGGTTATGAGCGATTGTTTGCTGATTTGCGAAAAATCCAGTTTATTCACCTACAACATTTCGGAGACGTTTTCGAATGCGTCGTCCTTTGTATCTGCGAATTTTGAATGCCATCGAAGCACACAATCCATACACTACTAGAAAAGGGGAGCTTTAGACATGGAACTTTTTGTGACGGTTTAAAATGGTCGCAAAAAATAGGCTTTTGCGGCGGTAAAAAAATTCGTCGGGAAATCATTTTTTTGCGACGGTAATTGACTGTCGCCAAAGAAGGTACTGGAAAATCTCCGGCATCCAGGTAACCCTCCTCTCCTCTCCCTAAGCGCCCGTCCGTAATATTTCAGTTCTCTCTTGAGCCCAGCCCTAATTTCACTGTGTCTCTCTCATGCCCACCCTTCACTCTCTCTCTCTCTCGCAACGACAACAACACTGGCATAGGCAAATCTCCGGCATCTAGGTAACCCTCCTCTTATCTCCTTTCTTCTCCTCTCCTTCCCCTAATATATCAGTCTTCTCTCTCGCGCCCAGGGTTTAGGATTGTGTTTGAGCCCTTCTGTTTTGGACATTAGTGTTATGGCAAAATCATTGTACCGTCTAAAAGATGAAGATGATTTTCCACCTTTGTTAAATTGATTTTGGTGGGAAGGGAGGGGAAGGGATGCTCTATTTACATCGGCATAGTAAGTACGGATAGAACAGGATCTGCTAACAAACCAGCCTAATCTTGAGCTTTCTGCCATTGTGGCTCATCTTAAATTGCTTTACATTGAGTGATTGTCTATACACACACACACTCTCTCTCTCTCTCTCTTATTCTCTCTACTCTTTCTCTACATCTATTGGGAAGTAGGTCTTGGATCTCCCCTATCTCTCCCTCTGTCTCTACATTTATTGTAGATTGTTTTCACACAGTCTATTCAACTTCATTCTGTCTTCAATCGTCTCAAAAGTTAATTAAACAAATTCATACATTTCTTTCGTTTTCTCTTCGGATCCTGTTCTCCTTGAGTATCTAAAATGTTATGATTTCTCATTGATTCTGATGTTAAGTCACTACTACTTGTGCCTTTGCTAGCTCAATTTCTCATTTGTAGCCTTTCAAGTTCTATTGAATTTGAGTAGAAGTGGAGCTTTGATATCAATACATGTTGATCTACTGTTTTGCTAAGCTAATTCTGAGGAATTCTATTGAATCCCTTAGGAATTTATTGGGTTTTTGTTTTTATTGCATAAATTCAATCAGGGCACTACATTGCACTTCTAGTTGGGTTTTAATGGTGTTGAATTATCATAATTAGTGTAGATGAGTCCGGTAAGAAGTTGTTTTGAGGTGGTTTACATCAGTTGCTTGTGACATTCTTGGTATGCTTGTAATTTAGATTTGATCTGAAGCTATTCATGTGTGTTTGGATTGATTCACATTCTTTTAAGGAATGTATTGAGGTTTGTTTGTTTTGAAGTGATTTTAATTCAATTGGTGTTGATTTATGGACAAATTGGTAAGCACAAATTTGTTTGTTTGTTTGTTTGTTTTTTTTTTTTTTGGGTCCCAAAATTTGATGGTGTTTTGCAGGAGGCTGTATTCTTTTGATTGTGTTTTGGAGGCAGATCTAAAGATCTCAAATCATCAGCAAAGCTGGCGGCGACACTAGCTTGGAGGTTTGTTCCCAACAATGGCAGCAGCCTTACCACTAATGATCTGGTTACTTATGTGCTTATTTCTATGTACAATAAACGATTGGTTTGCATTTTTGAGACTTGAATTTTGGAGCAATTTGGGTAATAGTGGATATATTTTGCATTCTTACACAACATGCTGTATCACTTTCATGTTATTACTCTTGTGGCTTCCTGTTTTCTTGATTAGAATCTTTAGGTGGTCAGCATCCTTTTTTTGATGTATAATTATGTTGATAACATTTTCTTTGCTTCTATATCTAGTGGTGACCACAACTATCTCATTCTTTTTATTTCAGGAGAGAAATAGGGACGCTAAACATCATGATTCAGAGCTGCCAACTCTGCGTTCACTTAAGCTGTGGTATTTTCTTAATAGGTTGAAACAGGTAATCTTCAAGATGCAACTTTTCTTAATGCTGTAGCGAAGGTGAATAATTTTATTGATATATAGTACACACCTTGCTCCCTAAATGTTCCCTTATGTTATTTACAATTTTCCACTATAGAGTAAAAAAGTTACAGATCAGATTACTTGAATAAACAAATTGAAGCTATATATTGGGCGGAGTATCTTTATAATTTATTGAAGGGAGGCAAAAGAAAGTGCTGTCAACTAATGGAATAAGGATTTGTTTTATTTATTATAAAGTATTTTGGCTCAAATGATAGAAGAGTAACTTTCTTATTTGTCTACCCATTTTTGAGAATTCTCAACCTTTACCATCAGAGATAATTTGGACCGACCAGCCCAGCTCCATAGCACTTAAATAAATAAAAAATCAATAATTCAGTCATTTCAATTTCAATTCCACAAGTCATTCTTTGATAAATCAGATTTATGTTTGTTTTGTTTTTGATTTGATTCGATTTAGAGGATACATGCTTCTTATAAATTTCACTTGTTATCACTTGAATAAATTGTTTAACAGCCTTTTTCTATGTTGATTTTTGTATCAGGTTTTGCTCCTTGTTCTTTGACCTTTATCACAACGATTTAATTGATATTATTGTTTTGCTTTTGCTTTATTATTATGACTAAGCCATCTGATTTCATTGTTTTTATTGAATAGATTCCAGTCATCAAACTGAGATTTCCAACTCTAAAGCAGGTATGGAGCTTCTTGACATCATTCTAACCAAGGTATATATATCTACCGATGAATATTTTGAAGCAGAGACAGCGATGGTTGGCCAGGTAAATAATGCACTTGATGTGATGAAACTACATGATGGTTTTTCCCATACCTAGGATTGAATGATGTATTTGTTTTGTTTGTTGAAAAGCCTTATTTCACCATAACTACTTTGTTTATGATGATTGTGCCTGTTTTGTACGTAGTCACTTTCTTGCGTATATGCTATTGAAGCATTTGATGAGGCATCACTCTGTGACACATGCTTATTATATATGGTCAATATTGCAGCTTATGGATGCATAAGCTTTAAGTTATATTTTCGTGGATTTTGTATTGCATTTAATGGAACTTAATTATCAATGATATTCCCTCTCACTTTTGTATGGCAATAGCTGCTGGACTTGTTTCTTGGCCATGTGTCACGGGCCAACTCCTTTAGAGGCGCAGCGGATCAATTTTTCACCCGTGTGGCGCTCAAACTCCACCAAGTTTAAGCCTGCCATAGCTTATTGACAAATCGAGTGTTGATGGTCTCACCCGTTTGAACATTAGGGCCCAATGCTTTGTCAAGCAAAATAACTTCACAAGGAAGCTCCGTCTTCATCCGGATGCCACAAGTAGGCCTAACGCCTCAAGTGCACCAAGCACGGCATAAGTCGCTTCATGGCACCAAGCTTACCTCAAGCAAGGTGCTCGTCTAACTTAGGTTTATGTTACCAAGGTGCCTAGCCACGCAACAATGTGTTAACGAAGGCCTTCGACTTAGCCAATAAGCCAACATTGCATGTTGGGTCTTTAACAGCATCTCGAAGTGTCGTAGGGTCAAGCATGCCTCAATAGATGCATATTGGATGGCCACTTGGTCATGCGAAGCCCGCAAGCCACCGAGGGTCAATCTCTTGCCCACGACGTATTTTTCGTGCCTACACGTGTGTTAGATTCCGCTTAAGGCCATTGCGCACCTTAGCGTTGCACCAACGTGTAGCATGAGTAAGGCAACATCTCAATCCATAGCTTGCTTGTAGCATAATGTAGTCCCTCAATGGACTTAGTCAATGCATAGCTTGATGCCTTCATTCAATAGCCCACATATGCCGCGTCGCCTTCCAACCGCCACGAGATCCCTTCGTGCAAGATTGAACCCAAACCAAGCACTTGAGTTTGTACACGAGGCCTTTAGTGTTGCCTCGATAGCTCATTCAGTCCAAAACGAGTCCCAAAGATGCCATATTGCGTGGCATAATGGAAACAACATAGTGAACCTCTCCCTCGGGAGGCACACGCAGTGCCTACATTATTGCACCGTCCACAGGGCTCCCAAACCCACGTGGAGACTCTGGACACCCCTCTGGATGCCTAAAGCCCGCCCTTGAGTTGCCCCAAGATTGCTCACTTGAAGCCCAGTTTGGGCGGGGAGGAAGGTACGTAGCACACCTTGCCCCCTTATATATGCTTGTTAAGCAATTAGCCCTCTGGCATGAGGAAACATCAATATGTCCGAGGAGTCATAATGATTTTTCATAAATTTCACAAGTTGAGAAAAATCATAAAACTTGGTCGGGAAAACACTTCCCCTAAGACCTCTTTCCAGTAAAAATTTCAACTCGAAACTCCTTCATTTGGATGCCCAAACAACACACCAAAAATTTGCACTATTGGCTAGTGTTGCAAGCTGCTACTGTTGCTGGCCGTGTGCTTCTGCTGCTGCTGCTAGTGGCCCGTATGCCTTGGGCTGCTTGGGGGCCAATGTTAAGCCATGTTGAGGCACTTCCAACGGCCACTCTTGGGCACTCAAATGGCCACACCACCGCGAGCGAAACGTCACGGAGTTAGCCTTGCAAGGCAACTTGTGACACCATGCCTCTTCCAATGGGATAGAGCCAGGAATTTTTTTTTAAAGCCTAGCTGAGATCAGTATCCTACTTTGATGTTATTTCTATGATAAGCTTGTTTCTTATACTTCTTTATTCTCATAAAATAATATACTGTAGGGACTCTGTCAGCCCATTTAACTGTTTCTTATACTTCTTTATTCTCATAAAATAATGAGTTACCCTGTTGTTATACCGCTTTTGATAATTAGTGCATTGAGGAGTTCTGCATTTTGGTTTTCTAATGCTATATTTTTCACAATGACAGCCAATGATTATGTTATATTTTTCTAATGCTATACTTTGAGTTTGTAAATAAAATTGAGCATTCCCACTGTCTTTCTTCTCACATATTGCAGGATTCTCATGTTGATTGACAAATGCCCATCTAAGTTATTTATGGTCTTCTTCCACAGACATTGTAATTGAATGGTTTAGAAGTATTATATATATATATATGTTTCTTTTTTGATTGATGGATATGAAGCTTGAATAATCAGCTTGGGGGATGATGAGATATCACCCCTAATTTATAGATGAAGATTAGGGTTTACAAACAAGACTACAAACAAGACAATTACAAGATGATCCCTAAGGGCATAACAATGATTACAGACAAGAGTGCCTTTCGGCTAATAAAATACTAAGAGACTTTCGGTGATTATATTATGCCAACAGGATACTTGTACTAAAGCATATTTTTTATGGTTTTACAGGGTAGTTATGATGCTGACCAATCTCCAATTCTTCTCAGTGCCATCTTTAGTTTTTTGCTTTTTTCTAATTTTTGCTTTGATCACATTAGAGGCTGTTTATCTTATTTACCATCTTTGAATTTATTTTTTTTTTTGTAAAATTTTGCTTTCTATACTCATTATGGTCTGGGAATTGAGAGCTTTCTACCAGCCGTTAACGCTGTTTTTCCTTTTCAATTTTGTTACGGGAGTTAGTATTCTAGGGAATGTACAACACGTGTATATATATTATATTTCTATGTTTATAATTTTTTTAAAATATTTTTTGTTCTTATAAAAATTCTAGGTTCTGAAATGCAGGTGGAGTTGAATGCTGTGTAGTGGTGAGTAAATGAGATTTAATTGGAAGCATATCATTTTCATAGATTGTTAGTTGCTGCCTTTCTGTTTAGTTCCTTGGCTCCATTTATCCATCAATGGTTCGGTTTTTAGTAGTGTTGGCTGTAGCTATGGATGATTTTCAGAATCCCTGCATCCAGGTTAGTTCTTTTGGTGCTTTGATAATTGTAAATTTTAGATGGTTACAATTGATTTTTCTATCTTGTCCTTGGTCCTGTAAATATCAATTGCATGAGTAAATCTGGTTTATGCATTTGTTGAGTCACTTTTAGGTATTTTGCTTTTACTTTTTACTTATATTTTCTACTTTTAAGGATTCATATTGACGAGTTTGGTAGTCCCTGATATATTCTCTGGTTTGGATTTTATGTTTTTTTGACATCAATTACCATGGATCAATGTGATTTAGGTGTTCACCAGTGTTTTGGTGATATAAATTAACAAACTCCGAAATACTTCTATAAGCAATGGTGAGGGTTTCATTCGAAAAAACTTCATTGAGAGCTAAAACCTTGAGGTACTTGAGATCAATTTTCTTTCCTATAAATGGGTATCCACACTATCAAATATTTGCATCAAATGGCTGAAAATAACTTAGATTCCAAATCAATAGTTATTTTCCGACTTCCAAATCGAAATCTTCTTACAGCCGAAACTATGTGAGACAGATAGGGTGAAATAGAAGCGTGTCATGAGCCTAAGGGAAAATGGTTAGAGTTCTGCTAGATGTAGATAAAGAGGACTATTGGGTGGGAGGATGTAACAAACATAGGAGAAAAATGTTGCTGTTTGGAGAAAAAATGTTTTTAGAGTTACAGCCAAACATTGAAAAACAAAATAAATGTAAATTATTTTACATGGAATTATATTTACTGTAAATTATTTTACATCAAAACAAACGGAGCTTGAAACAAATAGAAGTTTCCCTTAATTATGTTGTAAATGATGATTTTTGTTTTTATTTTTATTTTTTTTGGCTTCTTTTTGCAGATTCAATCTTTTTGAGTACGTGATGATATCTTCTCATATCGATATTGGAATTTACTGTTGATATCAAAACAAGTTATAATATATATGTTTTGTTTTATTTGTATTGTCGATATTTTTGTTTGTTTTAAATACAAAAATTTGAGTTCTTGAATATAAAAAATTATTCTGTGTGTTTGATTTGAGTTTTTTGAATTAAGTTTTTTAAAAATTGAGTTTTTTTGTTTTCGTATTTTTTTGTTTTTAGTGAATATTTTTTAAATTTTAAACTTTTTTTTTTACTTTTTTAGATGCACCTTACTTAGATGTATCTAAAAAGTAAAAAATTTGTGAAAAAATATTTTTAAAAATTAATAAATACATAAAAATATAAAAAAATGTACTGAATTTTTGTATTTTTTTGTATTTTTGGTATTTAGTTAATTTTTAAAAGATTTTTTTCAATTTTTTTTTTACTTTTTAGGTATATTTATGTTAGGTATGTCTAAAAATTAAAAAAAATTGCTTAAAATATTTAAAAAATTCAGTAAAAACAAAAAAAATACGGAAAATGAGAAAGTAGAATTTTTTGAAAAGTGTTTTTGAAAAATGATAACCAAGCATTAGTATTGTTAGAGGATGTTTTATATATTTTTGTAAAGAATATTTTGTTGACAATTGTTACAGGGTACATATATATTATTCTTGGTATGATTTTGTGAATGTAAATGTGAATATAGATGTGTTTTATTTTAGAAAATATTAATAATTTGTACAGGGAAATAATTAATAAAATATATATTGATTTTATGAAAATAATTTTATTGCGACAATAATAAACCGTCGCTGAAGTAATCATCATTTCCTTACATTTTATTAGCGACGGGTTAACCTATTGCACATGCATATTAGTTCAAATTTTTAGTGACGGTTTAAACTGTCATAAATATGATATTAATTTTATTTTATTTTTTTTGTGACATTTTAGGCCGTTGCTAATAATACTTTTCGCGACATTAAATACCGTTGCTAAAAAAGTTTTGACGACGGCAACCAACATCGTCACTAAAAGTGAAGTTTTTTTTTTCCTTTTTTGTGTCAGGTTAAACCGTCGCAAAAACTATTAATTAACCGTCGCTACAAGAAAGCGACGGTTTGTAACTGTCGCAAATATTTTTTGTCACGCCCCCTTCCGCCACTTCCCATTTCCCGTCACTATTTCGTCGAAAAAAGTCTTCTGCGACGGTGTGTGGACCTTTTGTGACGTTTGAGACCGTCGCAAAAGGTCCGATTTGTTTAAAAACAAGATGCAGCTCATATTCTTGGATTGTCTCCCCTACAAAATATGACTTCAGCAATGAGAATATTGTCATATGGAGTGGCAGCAGATGCAGTTGATGATTATATACGTATTAGGGAAAACACTGCAATTCAAAGTTTGTAACATTTTTGTAATTCAATAATTGAAATCTTTGAACCAGAATACTTGAGATCTCTCAAACATCAACCGATATTGCTAGATTACTTGCTATTGGGGAGGTTCGGGGGTTTCCGGGTATGTTGAGAAGTTTAGATTACATGCATTGGGAGTGAAAAAATTATCGAAAGGCATGGCAAAGTCAATACGTAGGCTATCAAAAAAATTCAACCATCATTCTTGAAGCAGTAGCTTCTTATGATTTATGGATTTGACATGCATTTTTTGGAATGCCTGGATCACATAATGACTTAAATGTGTTGGATCACACAAGGTCAATACGGTTTTGATTTGATTCACTGCTCAATTGTGAACTAAAATAAACGAGTACTCGTTCCCAAAATATTGCCATGGTCTGACTATTACCAGTAATGCGATTTTGAGAGACTGCCAACCAAGATCTACATAAAGTTTTTTCTCCTATAATTGTTAACGCTTTACCACGAGAAACACGAGAAATTTTCGAAATAAAATTAATATCAGTGTTGTGCTCTCGTGAAGTTTCCGACATAAAATTAATATCAGTGTTGTGTTCTGAAGTTTGTGATTCCTCAAACATTTCAAAATTTTCTATAGTTTGAAGCAAATATAGTAGGATACAATATCTAACGCAGACAGTGAAATATATTGTAATGATAGACACTAAACCTCAATATCAGATAATATACGCTGAAGCTCAAAGAGAAAATAAAAATTATACTAATATTATCAAACTGAAACTCAAAGAAATTGAACATAAGAAACGGATAATATTCACTCTATAAAAATTGTAATGCTATTATCAAACTGCAGCTCACAAAGAAATTGAATCTGACAAACAGATAATATACATTGAAGCTCACAAACAAAATAGAAATTATAATGATATAGTGAAATTAAAATATTGGTATATTTTATAGAGCACAACAGCAACGGTAAATTTTTAAAATACTTTGTTACACCAACAATAAGTTATTGGAATTGCTGGTGTAAAACGGTTACTTCTCAACTCAACATTTATATGTATATACAATGTAATTTTTTCATGTTACATTTTGATAGAAATTTAAATTTATATCAACTTTCAATTTATTCGTAGTGCCACAAAAGGAGCCTACCTATTTGAAGCAGTTTGCAGGCCAACCAAAAATTGCAAACCAAAAATTGAAACAGATTGAAGCAGCTATGTATGTGTCGGTCGACCGGTGGGTCAATCGGCTGGACGTCTGGCCGGTTGACCAGTGGGACCCACATCCAACGTAAACGCATAGTGAAATGGTGAAATCTCACCGAGATACTTAGTTTGGTGAAACTTTTGCTCCGTTATCAATTTAATATCAATTTGGTAAAACTATTAGAAAGAAAAAAAAAATGATTTTTTTTATCAAATTTAAATCTGATACTTAATCTGATACAACGTTAGAGATGGTCTAATATATTTTAAGATTTTTCTTTTAATATTGTTTTGTAAATGTCGGCTCCAAGTTAAGTTGAGTTTGGTAGTGCAATAATTGCAATTGTACGACAACATTTTCATGTGCCGGCCCGATCAAACCGTTTCAATTATTGATCATTGCCAAACAAGTATTGATCATTACCAAAGATGGTTTGACTTGTTTTTACTATATTTCTTTCATCTAATATATTAAAATTTGCTCTAATTTGAACTAAATAAAATAAGTGAAAAGAGAATGTTCCTATAAAATTTGCTATAAGTGAAAAGAGATTTATAAATAAATGTTCCTATAAAAATTAACAGTGAATGAATAAAAAAAAATTTTAATGAAAATATAAGGATGGGATTTTGATAAAAATATTAAATGATATTATAGCTTCACTTAAAGTATAAATAGTTAATTATCAAAATTAAAAATAAAATTGACAATAATATAAAGATCTTAAATACAATTTAGTGTGTTTAGTTTGAGTTTTCTGGATTAAATTTTTTGAAAATTAACTTTTTTGATTTTCGTATTTTTTTGTTTTTAGTGAATATTTTTTAAATTTTAAACATTTTTTTTTTAACTTTTTTAGATGCACCTTATTTAGATGTATCTAAAAAGTAAAAAAAATTATGAAAAAATATTTTAAAAAATTAATAAATACATAAAAATATAAAAAATGTATTGAATTCTTATTTTTATTTTTTTGTTTTTAGTGAATATTTTTTAAATTTTAAACATTTTTTTTTTTACTTTTTTAGATGCACCTTATTTAGATGTATCTAAAAAATAAAAAAAATTGTGAAAAAATATTTTAAAAAATTAATAAATACATAAAAATACAAAAAATGTATTGAATTCTTATTTTTTTTGTATTTTTGGTATTTAGTGAATTTTTAAAAGATTTTTTTATAATTTTTTACTTTTTAGGTGTATTTATGTGAGGTGTGTCTAAAAAGTAAAAAAAATGCTTAAAATATTTTTAAAAATTCAATAAAAACAAAAAACATAAAAAATAAGAAAGTAAAATTTTCTGAAAAGTACTTTTTGAAAAGTAGAAACAAGTAAAGTGATTAAAATTTTAGAGAGTGCTGTTTAGCCTTTGTCAACTTATCATGAAGTCATATTGATAATAAGAATTATTAAATGTGTTGGATTAGTTGAGTATTTTATTTATATAAAAAATTATATTGATCGGATATCGATAGTCATGTGATTAGATCACATTTGTGTTAATAATTTATTTTTAAAATTATATTTACCATTAATAAAAATATGATCTGATCAATTAACTATTAATATTTAATCAATGTAATTTTTATAAAAATAAAGAACTCAACAAGAACTACAATGAATTGTAATCATTAATACAAGTTCTATAGTGAGTCCACAAATGTCCAATAATTCTCTCCAGTTTGATATGGACCGGAGAGAAACCTTCCAATAAAAAAAAGTTGCATGAGCAGAGCAGGTGAAGATGAACCAGCTGACTATTTGAAAACACAATGAGTATTAAAAAAAAAATCATAATGTAGCCCGGTTTAGAAATAGGTTATTTTAGTTAAATTTTTAATTTTTTTGATTATTTTAATTTGGTTAAAAAAATTACATTTGAGATAATAATTGATTTTATTTTTTATTTTTTTGCAATTAATTTGATGATTGTGAGAGAGATAAAAGCGAAATGATTATGATTTGAATGTGACATTTTGATCTCGTTTAAAAAGTTGGCTACTATTTTAGTTGGCTTTTAAACTTTTTGGTTATTTAACATGCCTAAAAAAATTATGTTTGTTAAGTTGATTGTCTTTTTTTTTTATAGTTAATTTGATAATTGTAAGTGAAAAAATAATGTGAGTATAATTTAGATGTGACATTTTATCTTACTAACTATTTTAGTTTATTTTGTGTTTATTGACTATTTTAGCCTCTAACCTACTTCTCAAATATCCTTTTCTCTTATTAATTATTTTAACATAAACTCAACTTCCAAAAACTTATTTTGAGAAGTAGATTAAAAGTTGACTTTTTAATTTATTTATTTTTTAAAAAACATGTAAAAGAATAGAGATATGATATGACTTAAAAAAACTAAAAAAAAAAAAAAATTCCAACTTAGATGTCAAAATATCATATTAGCATTGATGATACTACAAATGACTTGGACGGGTCGGACTGATTCACGCTCTTCAAGCCTATGTCCGAATGACCAAGCCTACCTGAAGACCTGCACAAGAGTTCAACAGGGAACGTGAAGTTCCCCAGCGAACCCTCCGACGA